TGAACTAGGATGCAAAAGAAGGCATCCTTGAGGTTGAGCACAGTAAACCATTTAGCATCCTCAGGGACCTGGACTAATACGTTACAAGGATTGGCCATAAGGGGGTGTATACGAACCACAGCATCATTTACTGCTCTGAGGTCATGCACTCTCCTATGTTCTCCATTTGGCTTAACAACTGGCAGAATAGGGGTGTTACATGGAGACTGACAGGGCACCAAGAGGCCATGCTTTAAGAAGTTACCTATGAGGAGTTGTAACCCTTTTTTTGCTTCCAATCTTATGGGGTACTATCTCTTGTTAGGGTAAGTGGCTTCTGGCTTAAAGCTAATTTTTACAGGTTGGGTGTTTCTGGCCCTCCCAGGGACTCCTTTGTCCCAAACTGGTTCACTGGTTGGAGAATATGGCTGGGAACAGCCCCTTGCTCTTCTTGTTGATCTGCCTTAGTCAGGGTCACGATAAGGGGCTGCTTGGGGCCTCCTAACCGTAATATGGCCCCAAGGGAGCCCAGAAGGTCTCTCTCCAGTAGTGGCATAGGACACTTAGGGACAACCAAAAAGGCATGTGAGATCAAACACTGTTCAAATTGCCAAGTGAGAGCCCCAGTGAAGTAATGGGTGCGAGGCTTTCCGTCGACACCAGTCACTGTGCAGCTTTTAGAGGAAAGGGGTCCAGCGTGAGAATCAGGCCAGAGTATGTGGCTCTGATATCAATTTAAAAATTGATCTTCTTACCTGCCACATCAAGAACGACCCAGGGCTCCTTGATGGAAACAGACATCTCATGGGGGAGAGCTGCCAGAATCCCAGGGCCACCTCAGTTGCCCAGCACGGCCATCTCAGGAGTGGGGGCCCCTCTTCCCTGTCGGGGCCAAAGGCAGTCCCATCTCCAATGACCAGTCTGCTTGCAGACTGGGCATGGCCTGGGGGGCTCCTCTGGCATTCACGGGCCCAGGGCCCAGCTGACTTGCATTTGAAGCATTCCCCCTTGTTGGTCTTACCTCCAGACTGATGGCTGAACCTTCTTGGCCTCTTTGGGTTGCCCTGAAGTTGCAAGGTAATTTCAACTTCAGCGGTGTGTCTGACAGCAAGGGCTATCAGCTTACCTTGCTCGAGCCTTGGCCTGCCTCAACTCACGCCAAGTTCTTTCCTCCTCCTCAGTTTGATCTCGATTATTAAATACCCCAAAGGCTACCTCTAGGAGTTTGGGCATAGGGGTTTGTGGGCCTAAGCATAACTTTTGGAGTTTTCACCTAATGTCAGGGGCAGACTGTGTGATAAAATGTTGTCCTAGCAGGGACTGACCCTCGGGAATGGAGGGGTCTATGTTAGTAAATTTTTTAAAACCCTCCACAAGCCGTCCCTGAAAGAAGGCTGGGTTTTCTTCTTTATCTTGGGTCACTTCCATGACCTTTTCATAGTTGACTGGTTTTCTAATGCATTTTCTCATTCCTTCTAACAGGCATTGAACCACGTGGTTCCTGGCCCTTGTTCCCGCCAGGGACTTATAATCCCAAGGGGGATCCTGATTTGGGATTGTGTCCCCACCCATATCATAAATGTTGGGTTGGTCCCTGGAGAGCTGGTCAGCGTGCCCCTGGGCTGCTGTCCAAATCCTTTGCTTCTTTCTCCTCATGGGTACAGCAGGTAGATAGTACTATTTGGACATCCTTCCAGGTTAAATCAAAGGCCAGGGTTAGGGCCTGAAATCCTTCAATAAATCTACTAGGGTCTTCAGAAAATTGGCCCAGGCTTTGTTTGCACTGGGCTAAATTGGTTAGGAAGAAGGGCACGTGTACTCTGATTGTGCCTTCGCCATTTGCCACTTGCCCAAGAGGGCATATTCTCCCTGATCCTCGGTGATAGGAAGTCCCACTATGGGTTACCCCTGTGGGACTAGATTTTTCATCCTGGGGTACCAGTGTGTATAGAGGGTATGCATAGGGAGGCAAGGTGTAGGATTGGCCAGGGGGATCCCGAGAAGCAGGGGTACTTGCAGGAGTCGGAGAGGCTCAGTTTCTCTCCTGAGAGTTTGGGGGAGTTAAATGAGGACCGTCTAGAATGTCGAGAGAATTCTCTGATTCTCCAGGCCTCTGATTACCAGAGCTGCATAGAGCAGGATTCTGGTAAAGGGACATGAAGGCCTGGACATAGGGAAACTCGGTCCATTTTCCCAACCTACGGCAATAAAGATGCAGTTGCAAGATGGTTTTATAATTTAGAGACCCATTTTGGGGCCATGTTTCTCCATCCCCCAACATATAAAGGCCAGGCAGTCTTATAGTAAAACTTAAGCTTTTTTTTTCTTAGCCCGTCTCATTTTAAAAGCTTCCAGTTCTTAAGGACACATCCCAGAGGTGTTTCTTCTGGCTTAGAAGGGGATCCTCCCATGTTGAGCAACCTGCAACCAAGGACGAAGAGGCTCACCTAGGAACGGAATCCAGTGTCCTGGAAACATTTACCAGGAGGCTTTAATTTGGAAGGAGTCCGGAGTGTCCCCTAGATCCCCATCGACCCTGAATCAGACGTCTCTGGTTGAACTTAGTTCCTTGCACAGAGAAAAATGTTGCAGTTGCCAGGGATTCCTTGGGGAGGATATTTTGATTATATAGTCATTGTCCTATGACTATATAATAAGAGACTATTTTTCTTACACTGGGGTGTATCCCCTGGGACCAGGAGTCTAAAAGATTCAGAACACGGCTGCATGGACTCAAACAGCCCAAAAGGCTGGTGTGGAAGAACACATGGGTGAACTCACAGAGTGAGCTGCACCCAATAGGGGTGGCTTAGATCACTTGCATGGGGGCAGTCTTCCAGGTTGTCTCTGGCCAGTCATCTTGCTTTTGCCCATATCTGTCCTGACTCAGGGTCCTTCTTGGGGCATCACACGCATCTCTCAGTCTAGATGGATTCCAGCGCAAAGGTTTCTGGGAGGTTGGCAGGACATATTATGGGCTGGCATCTCCTCCCTCCTTTGGCCCCTCCCCTAGAGTTATGTCATCCCGAATTCCTTAGGGGATGACTGAGGACTTTCTCTGCACATGTGTCAGGCTGAGAAATCCCCTTGACCACAGAATGAGGAAATTGTGGTCTCAGGGCCCAATGCTCCTCCTGGCATCTTATCTCAAAGTGTCAGCAGGAGAATGGCTGCAGCTGCTCAGCCTGGAGCCCATCTATCTCCTACCTCACTATTACAGAAGGATTCATTACTTTGCCAAGAGGTTTACTAAAGACTGTTATTTCCTCATAACAATTTCCTGAGGGGGAAAAAAATCTATCATCATTTAACCATTAAATTAGATAGGTGAGAGGGGTTGATCTAATTTAAATGCACCATGCATATAGAAAACAAAAGTTTAAGAAAACAGAGTTTAAGAAACATGTTAGCTCAATGAAGAGAAAAAATGTGAATACTGATAAACAAATGGCAGAATTAAATGAAAGGAAGAAAATGAAAATAAAAGGTAATACTTTGAAGTCTTAATTTACCCTCCATCTCAGTGCTCATTAAGAGGTAAATTTCTATTTGCCCAAGATCTGCAGAGAGCATTCTGACTCTGAATGGTTCCCTGCTACCACAACTCTTCTTGGAGGATTGAAAATGGGTACAAAATCTTTCCAGATTTGCTTTTAGAAAAACCAGTCACATTCAATATCAAAATCTTTGGATGGTCTTGGATGTTAGCCAAAGAGTCTGGCCTTTAGTCCACAGGAAAGGAACACCATGACCCAGGGATATGCTTTCAGATGATAAATCTGAAAATCAGGGAGCCCTAAGGAACAAGGACGTCTGTTAGGAGAGACTATAACAGTCTGAGCTAAAAAGTAATAAAAACCTCAGTTAGCAGAATTAACATCAAAGATAGTGAGAAGAAATTATTTACATAAGATATCATAAGAGGACAATATAATCACAATGTCAGGAAAAAAAAAAAAAAAGGAGAGGGTTAGGGGGAAATGCCATATACGAGATTGAGAATACTACGGACTGAAAAGGATCAAACATTAGGTAAGTAAATAAGGATCTGACTGTGGATACTCTAACCTAAAATAAACAGTCTTCTTCAAGAGAAAGTTTTACCTTTAGGACAGAAAGAAAGTGAAGTATGATGTGTATTCACTTTGGAGAGATCCCTAGAGCAGGCAGAACACCCAGAGTATATTCATTACATTCTTGCTTTAATCTGAATACAGGACAGTCAAGCCAAGAGTGAACTCTACATTTAACTTCATCCTCAAGGACCCCAAGAGTTACCATAGGGTTTCCTTACCTAGGGTCAATCTTCTTTTTACCCCTTTCTGAAAAGAAAAACACTAATGATATTCTTTAAACCCTATTTTCCTATTTGTTTTCTGTTTATATTGGTAGGACAAACATTATTTCCATCTACTCTGACTTAAAAACACATTTCATAACACAAAAGTTATAAGCTTTTCACTGAGAAAACAAATCAGGGAATAAGGCTCAGGGAAGCTTTCTCAGCACACATACAAAATGCCTCCAAGCAAAATAAAGAGGAAGAAGAGCTAGTGACAGTTTCTTCATCAGTAAAATGAAAATAATATGTAGCTTACTGAAGAGTTATAAGGATCAAACTAGATCACTTATATGAAGCACCTACGATAGTGCTTGGCACATGATATGGGCTCAAAAAGTATTTACTATTAAGATGACTTTTTTAATTCCTTAATACTCAAGTTAAGTCATATAACTAGTGAACTAGGCAGAATTCAAAGACTCATTTGTTTTTGTTGTTTGTCAATTATTAAGTGTATGTCCCCTTCAAGTAACAGTATGGAGCATAAAAATATTAGAAGAATTAGTTTCTACCTTCCTCAGTCACTGATTATATAACATCACACTTGACTTGAACCAAAGCTAAGCAGAATTTGAAATATGTTAAATATACATTAGAAGGAAATAACTTTAAAAAATAAAATACATTTTTTAAAAAGAAGAAAACAGTTACTAAAATTCATCAACCATGAAATTTTCACCTTGTCTTCTGGACAAGAAATTGCTTCAGATCCTGAAGGATGTTTCCTGTTTTTCGTCCAACTTCTAAATACAAGTTTGGTCGATCAAAACCAGTACAGGTAATGTGAGGATCCATCAGTTTTAAGCAACGTACAATGTCTTCTCGGATTGAAGAACTTGCAGTAGCAGTCAGTGCAACAATTGGAACCTGAAATAAGTGAAAGTGATTTTTAACCAAGGGAAGAGCTCAATAATTCCCAACATCTACTGCCTCTTAGAAAGAGACTGGAAGACAATTACAGGAGCAAAAGAGGAACAGGATTAAAAATGCAACTTTAAAATTATTCTCTTTCAAAGAAGAGAAGAACACTTCCTTCATACTTGTTTCTCAGCCTTCTGAGAAATCATTCAAATAAAACACTAAATTCGTAAGATTTCTAAATACAATCTACCTTATTAAATTAAGTCCATTTATTAACTATCTACCTCTCCATTTATTATTTTTACGTTTATAATAGTGCTGGTACAAAGAGGGGTATGTTATGTCTTATTTTTCATTAATCTATCATTCACAAATTATAAACCCTTCATTCACTGAAAATCTACCTATACAAAGCCCAAGTCTTTTTTGTCTCCTATATTAAATATATTGATCGATGGCTTTTCAGATCTATTGTAAAAGAAAAGCTCTGAGTGATCTGGATAACCTCTCACCAGTTTTAGTGGGTTAATCGTGGCATACTATGTAAAAGAAAAAAAGAGAGAGTGAAACATCTATTATTAACTGATTCCTTGAGCAACCGAGTCATGTTCTATTTTCAATCTAGAGAAGACTTCTTGACTGCCTCAGCAGCCAAAGCAGGAGGCACAGCAGGTACCAGGAAAAACATGAGTATGTGATCTTTCAGAAATTCTAAAGTGGGATAACACACCTCCCATGAAACTAGATTTAATATTTCTGTCACTATTATCATAGGGAGTTCTAATCAACTATGCTATTATTTCATAATCAGAAAAATTGTTCCTATATCATTAGCTGCTCAATATCCAAGATTACAACTTTCTTAATACTCTTTTTAGCTTATTACAAATACAGTAAATAATATCCTCATAACATAGCTCTTCAGATACAATACATCTACCTCACAAATCAGTTTAAGCAATTATCGTACATACATGAAAATTTAAGTGCAATTTGTAAAATAGCAATTACAGAATTTGAAAAACAAGATACAATTTATTAAAAACAATTTTTACAATCAATATAGCTTTGCTGAATTAAAAATTATCTCAAAGCTCATGTAAAAAAAATCAATTAAGTTTGGGAGTAATTTTTAAATGGGAAAAAATTATATCAAAATCAATGTGACCGGGCTTCCCCGGTGGCGCAGGGGTTGAGAGTCCGCCTGCAGATGCAGGGGACGCGGGTCCGTGCCCCGGTCCGGGAAGATCCCACGTGCCGCAGAGCAGCTGGGCCCGTGAGCCATGGCCGCTGAGCCTGCGCGTCCGGAGCCTGTGCTCCGCAACGGGAGAGGCCACAACAGTGAGAGGCCCACGTATCGCAAAAAAAAAAAAAAAAAATCAATGTGACCAGGTAATTGGCATTTTTGTATTCTCTATCCTTAAATTCTGTGAAATTATTTTTAAAATACCCCAAATTAACTTAATTGATTTTTGGCTTACAATCAGACTGTTCTCTGAATTTAGAGAGTGTCTGCCTAACAACTTACATATGAATATGCCAATTTATAAAGAAGTTAGTTTCTCTAATCGAGGCTTAATATATATGTATATACCTGTTTTATGTCTTTATAGCAAATAAAAATATCTATAGCAAATATATGGCTGAGAATAAGGAAAGTTTAAACACTGAAGTTCTTAGGACATGCATATTCTCACCCTCACAACAACAAAGAGTTCCATCAATGTAAGTGCGTTATTCAAACAATTTACAAATGCACTAAAAAATGCTTGTTGTTTAACTGCATATACACATAAAGACAGAAGTTTTCAGGATAGAGACTATAAGAAAAGAGGGCCTGGTTTGTTTCTAAACAATATAATGTATGAGTGGACGAGCAATGCTTTTGTGAAAAGGAAATAAGCACGAACCACAACACATTTTGAAGAAGTTAGTAGAAAAATCTGGCAAAAAGCAGCACAGTGGTGTAAAAATCTCGTTTAGAATCAATTGTCTGAGTTCAAAGCCTACCTTTGCCACTAACTAGATGTGAGATTTTGAGCTGTTTATCTTTTTTACACATATATATTTTTTTGGCCATGCCACACAGCTTGCAGGATCTTAGTTCCCTGACCAGGGATCGAACCCACGCCCCCTTCGGTGGAAGCGCAGAGTCCTAACCAGTAGACTGCCAGGGAAGTCCCTTGAGCTGTTTATTTCACCCTCTGAACTTTGGTATCCTCATCTATAAGATGGTTGTAATAACAGCAACAACCTCATAAAGTCACTGTGAAGACCAAATGGGATAAAAGGTCTAGTGTGCTGAACACAAAGGTCTAGTGTCTAGTAAGCACTCAAGAAGTGTCAGCTATCACTGATATTACTGCAACAACTGAAAAGAATTCTACAAAAGAACTGCAGAGACATGGCCACTACTCCCAGACTTGCCACTGACTTTGGAAAGGGCTAGCTAACTTCTCTTGGCCTCAGTTTTTTCATCAAAATATGAGATGGAGAGGGCTACGGGATGTTAACCTCTCTTCTAATTTAAAAATTCTCACTTTGGGGGCTTCCCTGGTGGCGCAGTGCTTGAGAGTCCGCCTGCCGATGCAGGAGACGCGGGTTCGTGCCCCGTTTCGGGAGGATCCCACATGCCGCGGAGCGGCTGGGCCCGTGAGCCATGGCCACTGAGCCTGCGCGTCCGGAGCCTGTGCTCCGCAAATGGGAGAGGCCACAACAGTGAGAGGCCCGCATAACGCAAGAAAAAAAAAAAAAAAAAAAAAAAAAAATTCTCACTTTGCCACTAGAAACTCCTTATTCTAGTGACCTGCTAACAGGAAAAATCAATATAAATTCCCTCTTTTGCCAATGTTCTAGAAAGTCACAGTTAAGAATGTTGCTTCCACAACTTAGAAAATAGAATAAAGTAATGGAATGTATTAAACTTAATGGAACAATATTTACTTTTACTTTAGAAATGAACAGAATATTCTCCCTTAGAATCTTTGGTGCTTAAAAGTTATAAACTACAGTGAAGTGTACAAATAGCACACAGGCTGGTTAGGAGAAAGGTGTCCATACAGCCTGGTTTGCTGGGATACTCTCAGTTTATCCTGTCATCACAGCATAGTTATTAATAACTTGAACCTTTTAATTTTCAAAAGCAAACTGGTGTGGGTGATAAATTACCCTGTCACTCAGTTATATCAAGTTCTTAACTCATGAAACTTGTTCTTTCAGTTGGCAAATCTTGGTTTCTTTGGTAATAAGTACCAAGTCTTGTTAAAACAAGCAACAAAATGTAAATTAACCTTGTGACTATAAATTTAGGAATGCCTTAGACATATACTTCAATGGTGTCACATCTACAAATTCCAAGGACTATATCTGCTTCTAAATTTGGGTGGTACAGTTAATCGATGTACTCTATAATATCATGCTTCATTCATTCATTCATTCATTCACTAACTCCAGATATTTCCTGAGTGTCTACTATGTGCTGATCTTTGTGAAAGGGCTGGGGAGAAAGTAATGGGAAGATCCAACATGTCTCACATTTCTCACAGTCCTCTTATTTGAATTTCAGACTTTTGAGGCTGATGTAAAGCTTTCTACCTGGCTGCTCTTTCTTGAGACTCATTTTGTCAGATTCTCTCCAAATGGGAATCTTTATGCACAATGAGTTAATGATTTTTTGCTATTTTTGAACATACTGAAATAATATGGTGTGAAGCACTGTGGGTTTACGCCAGTTGTCCCAGGGTGATTGTGATTAGAAGAAAAAAAGCACTGAGAACAGTGAGGAAAATGAGACTCCTACAACCACCAGGTGGCATTTCTCATCACTTAGCTAATAAAGAGAATTCATGAAAACACTAGGGGAAAAAGGTTTTCTCAGCCGTTGCTTGACGAACAACCTGTGCTACAGTGAATCATCCCAAGAAATGAAAAGAATCTAATGGAGTCCACAGCCTGACATAATAAAAGACTTAATTCAACACTGAAAAGTGTTTCAGAACTGCATAAAATATTTAAAACTCCTCTAACACAATCCTTCTAGAATCAAAGGCCCAGGAAAGGATTAAAGAAAGCAATCTTGGGCTTCCCTGGTGGCGCAGTGCTTGAGAGTCCGCCTGCCGATGCAGGGGACGCGGGTTCGTGCCCCGGTCCGGGAGGATCCCGCGTGCCGCGGAGCGGCTGGGCCCGTGGGCCGTGGCCGCTGAGCCTGCGCGTCCGGAGCCTGTGCTCCGCAAATGGGAGAGGCCACAACAGTGAGAGGCCCGCATAACGCAAGAAAAAAAAAAAAAAAAAAAAAAAAAATTTCCACTTTTCCCCTAAAAACTTCTTTTTTTCGTGAGGCCCGCATAACGCAAGGAAAAAAAAAAAAAAAAAAAAAAAAAGAAAGCAATCTTCCTTCCTAGTTTAAGCTTACTTTAAACCGTTCTAAATTAATAGAAAGCAGTCCTCAAGGAACCTGAGCCTAGTGACTTTCACCATGCAAATATCTTCTTTCTCTATACAGGTACTATTAACACTATTATCTTTCTATATTATTCAGACTGTTTCATACACTATTTATTGTTTGGTACTATTGCTTCTACTTTTATAGGTGAATGAATCTAAACTCCTTTACTGGACTATGTGCTACTTTAGGGCAGAAACTATTTTAAACTTCTTTCGAGTCATTTGCTTTAGAAACCAGCATAGTGTCCTACTGTGGAGCACTGCCCGGCCCTACCACTCACTGCCTGTGTGGGAAAGTTACTTCTCACATTCTCAGCTTTCTCATTGAAATTCATTTATTCATTTACCCCATTACTTATGGAACACGCACTATGTGCCAGGTACTGTTGTAGATTTAATAAACCAAATCAGCAAAAACCTTGCCCACAAAGAATATTCTAGGGGGGGACCCACAGGCAATAGATAAAGTGTATTATTAATACGTTAAGTTAAACAGTGATAAGTGCTATTTTAAAAACAGGAAAGGAATATGAGGAAAGCTGACAGCTGGGAGAGAGAGGTTAATTTGAAATTTTGAATATGGTGGCCCAGGAGGCCTAAAAAAAAGCTAGTATTTCAGCAGACTTGAGAAAAGTGAGGGATACACCATGTGAACTACCCAGGGGAAAATTATTCAGGGAGAGGGAAAAGTGGGAACAAAGCCCTAAGGTAGGAGCACGGTTGGCACCTTTGAAGAATATCAATGAAAACAAACAGTACGGCTAGAAGCCAGTGAATGAGGAGACAAGTAGCAGAGGATGAGGTCAAAGAGAAAATAAAGGCCAGATCATTTAAGATACGTAGTGTTTGTCTTTATTTAGAGTGAAATGGTCTGCAACCGGAGGGTTCTGAGCAGAAGACATGATCTGTCTGACTTAACATTTTCGAAATATCACTCTGGATGCTGTATTGAAATAGACTAAGGAGGGTAAGAGTGAAAACAGACCAACCAGGAGACTGCTGTAATAGCCAGGTGAAAGGAGACGGTGGCTTGTACCAGGGTGGTAGTAGAGATCAAGAGAGAAGTGATCAGATTCTATACATATTCTGAAGACCTCATGAGATTTCTTTACTGTTTAAATGTGGGGTAGACTGTAAGAGAAAAAGAAGGGTGGAAGAAAATTCCAAAAATCTTGGCCTGAGCACCAGAAGGATGCAGCTGCTACTAAATGAGATGGGGGAGATTGAGGGAAGAGCTGTTCTGGGGTGGAGAGAATATCAGGAAGTTAAGAATAGGTTACGTTTCAGATGCCTGTCAGGCATCGAAGTAGACAGACGCTCAATAGGCAGCTAACGTTTATGTAAGTGTGTGCGTGTGTGTGTGTGTGTGTGTGTGTGTGTGTGTGTATACATATATTAATCCATAAAACGATTAAAATAAAAAATAGTAATAATAACAGCAAATGCTAAAAAGGAGGGAGAGAAACTGAACCACTCATACATTGCTGGTATCAATTCAGGGTGAGGATAAAAATTTGGGAGTTGTCAGCATACAGATTTTAGTTAAAACCATATGTTGGTTGAAATGACCAAGGAAGTAAGTACAGAGAGGAAAGAGAACAGGTCCAAAGACTAAGGTTTTAGGCATGCCAATGTTAAAAAGGGCAGGGAGACGAAAAGAAATAAGCAGAGGAAACTGAGAAAGAAGAGATAATAAGAAAGGAAGAGAACCAGGGAGTGTGCTATCCTACTGGTATGAGAAGAACTGTTTCAAGAGGAAGGTAATGAAACTAGTGGGCAGTGGGGAGGGGCAACACAAGGGTAGGGGAGTGGGAGGTACAAACTACTGGGTGTAAGACAGGCTCAAGGATGTATTGTACAACACAGGGAATAGAGCCAATATTTTGTAATAACTGTAAATAGAATGTAACCTTTAAAAATTATATTAAAAAAAATTTTTTAAAAAGAAGAAAGTAATGAAGATATTTATGTTGCTGGATTGTTATGAGGGTTAACCAAGATAAAAACATTGACCCGGGCTTCCCTGGTGGCGCAGTGGTTAAGAGTCCGCCTGCCGATGCAGGGGACACAGGTTCGTGCCCTGGTCCGGGAAGATCCCACATGCCGTGGAGCAGCTGGGCCCGTGAGCCATGGCCACTGAGCCTGCACATCCGGAGCCTGTGCTCCACAACGGGAGAGGCCACAACAGTGAGAGGCCCGCGTACCGCAAAAAAAAAAACAAAAAAACAAAAAAACAACACTGACCCAAGGCCAGTCCCGTAGTTGGAGATCAATTCACATTACTTTGATTCTCTTCCAATATATCCTTGCTAAGTGTTACATTCAAGTTTTTTGTTCATTTGTTTTGTTTTATTGTAATGTCTGCTCCAATCAAATCTTTATGAGAAGAGCTAACAAAAAAGAAACTATATTTAAGATAGCTCTCAATAAGCATGCTTAATATGAGGTTGAACTACATAATCTATCAAAAGAATAACAAATAATTTCCAATACTTTTTTTTTTTTTGGTTTACTCACATAAGCCAGTTCCAATAGGTGACAAACCATACAATTCAATTTATTTAACATTGTTGAAATAACAAAATTATACAAATGGAGACCAGATTAGTGGTCACCACGGGTTAGGGTTAGGGGTGATGAGAATGGTGGGTATGCCTGTAAAAGGACGGCTCCAGGGAGCCTATGGTAATGGAATAGTTCTGTATCTTGATTGCAATGGAAGTTATACAAACATACATATGAGATAAAGCTGTATAGGACAATATACATACATACCCATACACACTTATAAAACTAGCGAACTAAGAATAAACTGTAGCAATGTCATATACCTACTTGATACTATACTACAGTTATTCAAGATATTACCACTGGGGAAACAGTACATAGAACATCCCTGTACATTTTTTTTTTACAATTGCCTGTGAATCCATAATTTTTCAAAATAAAAAATAAAATGGTTGCCAATATTTTAAGTTTTTAAGCTCTTTGTATAAAATATGCCATTCATATAGAACACTCATGTAAAACTTTCCTGTTCTTTATAATTAGGAAAGAAAGTGTGAGAACCAGAAAAAGTTTGCCAAGTCCTGCTCTATAGTATTCCTCAATAAATTACATGCCAAGCTTAGAAGGAAGTCAAGGTTAGAATTTTTAAAAAAAATCTTTCCCCTGCTAACATCATCCATTTGCCCTTTCATAGAGGAATCTTCAGCTTTTTGGCCATTCCCCAATCCTGGACTCTCCCTTGGTAAGAAAGTCATTTCAAGACATTGCACTTGGCAAAGCTTACCGATGGGAGTACTGCCTTTATGGAGCCCAAAGTTCTGAATGAACTTCTAAAATCATGTCCCCACTCAGAAATACAGTGAGCCTCATCCACAGCAATAAGTGTGATACCTATAAAAAAAGAAAAATATGTAAATGGAGAAAATAAAGTTCAAAAAAGTAATAAATGCATGTAAATTGTTACCACCATCTTCATTAGAATATATAAATATTATAGAAAGTAGTATAAATAATTCAAATCAAAGTATTTGGTTCATATAAAAATATAAGCATAAATAACATCAGATAACACCAAAAATCATTATTGAAAATAGGCAAAGGGAGATATATGGATAAAAGGCATATGCATAAAGAGAGAAATATATATTTTTCAAACAACATATTTACTGAATTTTAAATTTCATCATTATTCCTCAGAGAAATTAGTTACTTACTATTACTTTGTCCTCAAAGCTATCACTCATTTGCAACGATAATGCCCTAAAAAAAAGAGCTGTTCTCTTTCTCTTTGGTAATACTTTCCATTTTATCTCATGGATTAACTATCAAAAGAGATAGAGAGGCTTCCCTGCTGGCTCAGTAGTTAAGAATCCTCCTGACAACACAGAGGACACGGGTTCGAGCTCTGGTCTGGGAAGATTCCATATTCCGTGGAGCAACTAAGCCTGTACACCACAACTACTGAGCCTGCACTCTAGAGCCTCTGAGCCACAACTACAACTACTGAGCCCACGTGCCACAACTACTGAAGCCCGCGCACCTAGAGCCCGTGCTCCGCAACAAGAAGCCACTGCAATGAGAAGCCCGCGAACCGCAACAAAGAGTAGCCCCTGCTCACCACAACTAGAGAAAGCCCGTGCGCAGCAACGAAGACCCAACGCAGCCAAAAATAAAATAAATAAGTAAATACAGTACAAACAACCAAAAAAAGAGAGATAGAAAGACTCAGCGTATTTCATACTAAGATTAAATGCATCACTGTCTGTGACTGATCACATATTACACTGCAGAGTTCCTCTGTAATGCCAGTTCTGGAAGACGGATGACATCCACGTTTTCTAATATAAAATGGTAAGGGAAGAACTAAATCTCATTATGTACAAAGTAGGTAAGAAGGAATGTACTTTGTTCTCTTCCCCTAGCAACGCCTCTACTCTGCCCTCACACCACACACCCACACTGAAACAGAATCAACAGTGTGTAGTAATGCATTTCAGAAAAGGGCTTTATTTTATAATCATTCACTAAAACGTCTTCAGATATTTCAAAGTAGTGACAGTAGTGCTTTTGCCCTCGATCACCAAATTAATACTTAAGACAAAAATAATATTTCCCTTCAATGGGGATGATCACTACTTGATGCTTATCTGAGAATTTATAATATTTTGCCACTAGTGAGATGATTAAAAACATGTGCTCTAGAGTCAGACTACCTAGATGCATGACCTGGCTTACTATTTATATTACCTTAAGCATGTTACTTAAGCTTTCAAGTGTCAGTTTCCCACAAGTATAAGGTAGGTAATAAAAGTACCTAACATTTTTTAGTTATTCTGAAGATTAAATTAGATCATTCACAGAAAATGCTAAGATAGGGGCTGGCATAAAAGACAGCTCAATAAAAAAAAAATAAGCTATTATTATTATAGTTATTAAATTCCCACTATGTTCCAAACACTCTTCTAGATATAACATGATTAGTAAAATGCAATCCATGATTTTGAGGAGCTCACAATTCTAAAAGAGGAGGCAGACAGACAAGCAAATAATTACAATTCATTGAGATTACCAAGTACAATGAGTTGGAGAAGAAAAAGAAAGAAAGAAAGAAAAAAAAGAAACCTACTAAATATGAACAAATACAGGTTGATCACATCAAATTTCTATTTCCTGAGTGGCTGGGGCAAATTCAATGTTACCACTATACTTATTTGGGTTTAGAAACTACATGACCCAGATTTTAAATTAAATAAATTAAAACAAAGATGACAGCTCCTCCTTTATTTTAAAACCTTCCTTATAATTATAGGTTTGACTAACTAGCTTATTTTAATAAGAATTTTTATTTATTTATCTATTTTTATTATTTTATGTATTTATTTATTTTTGGCTGCATTGGGTCTTCGTTGCTGCATGTGGGCTTTCTCTAGTTGCAGCGAGCGGGGGCTACTCTTAGTTGCGGTGCGCGGGCTTCTCATTGCGGTGGCTTCTCCTGTTGTGGAGCACGGGCTCTAGGCATGCGGGCTTCAGTAGTTATGGCACATGCATTCAGAGTTGTGGCTCGCGGGCTCTAGAGTGCAGGCTCAGTAGTTGTGGCACATGGGCTTAGTTGCTCTGTGGCATGTGGGATCTTCCTGGACCAGGGCTCGAACTTGTGTCCCCTGAATTGGCAGGCGGATTCTTAACCACTGCGCCACCAGGGAAGTCCAACTAACTAGCTTTTAATGGAGTTAAACTTTGCCCTTCACAAGCAGCTGAGGCAAGCTTCTGCCAACTTCCACATTAAATGTGCAAGTCCAAGTGTCTGCCCAGGTTCAGGACATATTTCATTTTGGCACACCTGTCATTCAAGCCTACTTCCAAAGTTACAAGACAATTACAGGTGTGTTTGCTTTTAAGGTGTCTCTATGTAAAATTCTGTTAGCTGCTTCTGTTATAAACCCATATTACTTAAATAATAACACATCATTAAAAATCATAAATCTGAATAGCTAAATGTCAAACTACTGTACAAATAAAATTCTGAGTATATTCCCTGCTGCAAGCGTTTTACAAACTCCTGTAAATAAAAGTTAAATAAAAGTATTTCAGAAAAAATTTATTCTATTTTGTTCAACATTGACAGTCAACCAAAAAGAGCATTTTCATCCATTTTATGCAGAGTACGCAGCTCTAATAACTGCAGTGTTCATAATTTAATCCTTTAGAAAAAAATTAAAATAGAGAAATAGAACTACCTGTCAAAAGGATCTAAGTAAATACTGGATTAACTCCACCACAGAAACAAAACAAATACTAAAATGGAGCAAAACATATTCAGACCACTATGGACATAGACCCTAACTTTTGCAGTAAAACCACGGAATTTATATATCTAGGGTTGTTGGGTTTAATCTAAAGTGAAATATTCATAAGAACTTCATACAACCTAATAGGACACACATCAAATTTGTTTTCCATTTAAGGCAAAAATATAACATGGCAATAGGGGAGTTTAACAGCTGATGGATGCAATTTTTGATAATATATTTAATCAAATGCTAATTTCTGCCCTCATTCTTTTGTTGATATTTAACACATATTAAAAGGTAAGTATTTGTTTTCACTATATTGTTAGAACAACTGTTAAATGCTTTCCTAGAGTTATATGCAAGTAACCATTAAATGAGACACTGCAATGTTAAAAAACTACCTGTTAGGAATTATTTTAATAGATAATTATAAAATGAGATCATATTACATTAGAAAGCTAAGATTGTTTGGTTTAGCTGAATGTTTGAAATATGTGCAATTACAATAGAAGCTGTGACTGCCAACTCCTGGATAGCTGAGCCTAACCATCAAGAAGCAAAAAACCGGGCTTCCCTGGTGGCGCAGTGGTTGAGAGTGCGCCTGCCGATGCAGGGGATGCGGGTTCGTGCCCCGGTCTGGGAAGATCCCACATGCCGTGGAGCGGCTAGGCCCGTGAGCCATGGCCGCTGAGCCTGCGCCCCGCAACGGGAGAGGCCACAACAGTGAGAGGCCCGTGTAACGCAAAAAAAAAACAAAAAACAAAAGAAGCGAAAAACTGACAGAAATGTTTTAATCACAAAAGAAAAAAAATGATACCAGCTTTTAACTAATTCTATATTTACATTTTCTAGGACACAGGCTCTGACTATCTAATTTTTTTAATTAATCATACTTACTGAGAGCAAATAATCAAAGGTACTGTGGTTTCCAACATGACTACACATCAGAATCACCTGTGAAAAAAACTACAGATGCCACAGCCTCGAGCCAGGTGCATTAAATCACAATTTTCAAGGTTTGAGGATCTGACATTTTTCTAAAGTTTGAAAGGTGATTCTCATGAACAACAAGGGTACAGAACCACTACACTGACTTAATTTAGATTCAGAATATGAAAAAGAGGAAATTATAATTTCACAGAATCTAAGATTCAATATGTATTCAACAATACATTTAAATGCCTACTATGTGCCAGGCACTGCACTCGGGAAATATAAAGAAATAACAATGGCATTTTTCCTTGAAAAGTTTACAGTCTAGCAGAAGAAAACAGATATATAGACAGGTAATTACAATGCAGGAGCCTAATTTCTACGGCAGAGGGAATTATAGGATACTTTGGGATAGGACAGGAGAGAGACCACGTTGAAGAGGCAGAAATTTCCTGGAGGAGATAAGGTTTGAAATAAACTTTAAGAGAAGTAAAATCCGGTATCCATTCATAAGCTTAACTTTAAAGAATATCTCAATTTAATAAATACTTATAAAGATTCTATCATACCACTTACCAATATTAGCCTGCAGTTGCTGGAGTAGGTCCAAGTTACTTGAACAGAATTCTGGAGTTATGTACACAATCCGGTATTTGCCTCTGTAAAAACAAACAAAGAAACAGGAAAGGAAATATAAAAACAATCACCCAATGAATACAACTGAAAACCATAACACCTGATAATTTTTTAAATAGTATATTACGCCACTTATTAAAAACAAAATGAATGTTATATGTGTGTAGAGATGCACATATTCTGGTTCTTTGATTTCACTTCAATGCATCAAAACAAACGTTGGCAATACCAGCCAGGAAGTACTCAGCATAAGGTGCCATTAGAAGCCAGATTCTGATTTCCAGCAGTCTAGCCCCAAAACTACAGTGGCTTGAGTTAAATGATCAAGCCTAGAGTAAACCTTTTTTATGTGTTAGCAATCCACCTATTATCCTACCCTTGACCCCCATCTCCATGATTAAATCCATAGCACCCAGGTTTCTCCTGTGTACTCTGCTGTCTTGCCTACATCTTCTCGGGCCAGGGGCAGACAGCATATGAAAGTCAAGTCAGTTAATCTCTGTCCTAGAATTTGGGGGTCTAACCAAGAAACAACCAGTCAGTCTCCAAGTGTCAAGACCTGAACGTGTTAAAAAAAACAAAAAGAAGCTGCAGAGCAATCTATTTTGTGACTAGAAAAGCAGAGAATGCTCACCTCCTCAGAGAGAAGAATGAGGAATACACACAGAGGCTATGGATAAAAGGAAAGCCCTACTGTATTTTTAATACCCATTCCAGTCTCTTCCTGAGGGCTGGCGAATTTCTTTTCAGAGGGATCCACAAGACATTCCTGTATCCTTAATATAAAATTCAGTATTTGCTTAAGTTAGTGTGACTGATTTCTATTCTGGGCAGATAGAATCCTAATTAAGACAATGTCTGCAATAAAGGTTAGGGCTAGGGCAAAATATGTATAGAGTCTCTTTTCCATTCTACCAAATGAAGACATAGACCAAATTAAATAAAATGAAACAATGTTCTATATGAAAAGACTATGAAATATTTAATCTACTGTGTGCTAGGCAGGGTGCTTTCACTAGGAATTGGAACAAAACAATTAAGAACAGAAAAGATACACTTTTAATCTCATGAAATTAACTCAGTCTAGTTAACACAGGAAATCGTATAAATAATTAGTTCTGACGCCAGTCTATTCAGGTTTGAATCTCAGTTCTACCTCTTACAAGCTAAGTGATCTTAGACAAGTACTTAACTTCGCTGTGCCTCAGTTTCTTCAGTGTGCCTCAGTTTCTTCAGTGTAAAACAGTAATACGAATTATAAAGACAGCTAATTCTTAGATATCTAGATTCAAGGTAAACCCAATCAAATCCCAGCTGGCATTTTAGTTGAAAAGGTGATATTGAAATACTTATGGAAATACAAAGGACCCAGAATAGACCAAAAACAAAAAAAAATTTTTGAAAGAACAAACGTGGAAGACTTGTACTACCTATTACAAGGCTTATTACAAAGCTATAGTACTCAAGACACCAATCCAGGCAGACAGATTGATAGAACAGAAAATAAAGAATGTAGCAATAAACCCACATATATTTAGTCAATTTATTTTTCACAAAGGTGCAAAAGAAATACAGTGCAGAAAGGATAGTCTTTTCAACAAATGGAGCTGGAAGAAATGGATATGCCTATGCAAAAAAAAAAAAAAAAAAAAAAAAAAATTTAAAAAAAA